CTCTCGCGATTTTAAATTAAGAAATAGTGATTAGAATTTATTAACTGTGTTTTAATTAATTTAACTATCCCGTTTCCAATGTGTTTATTTTTTTGTTGGATTATTTCTTACTTTTCATTTTCCGTCTCAAACCTGAGGACGATTTTTTCTCAAGCTCTGAGGGTCATGTCATCGGTCCTTTTATCAGACTTCCTCAGGTTCCCTCGATATCGATCAATGGGATATGTTTCAGTATGCAAATTCTCTCAAGTCTAGCCTTTGCCACTCATTCCTTATCGTCTCTCCGGGGCGCAGAAGTGCAATGTAGTTTTCTCAATGTCTTTTTTTTTCATTCGTTTTTTCGTCTAGTCGTCTCACGAATAAAATGCACTCTCGGGAAATTTTAGTTGTACATGCGTTCGTAGAAGGCACTAACTAAAAGTTTGGTGGTAACAAGCTGAACTGATGGATTTTCCATTGCTTCGGACTCATTCTCTTTGATCTAGCACTCTTCTCTGCGAGCTCAATGATTGATAATTTCGCAGAGACTTGTACTTTCTTCTTCACTCTTTCCATCGTAATTATGAATTTCTCCGGTTCCTTCGAAACAAAATTAAAATCTCAATACGAAATTGCTCAACGGTTCAGTAAAAATATTATTATTAAAAAATTCACGGAGTTCATACTTAATATTAATATATTATGAGCCGATGAATTTCATTTCGACTTGATTATTTATTCAATGATTCCCATTTTTAATTATTACCCACCCGCAATATTTAATTTAAAATGAAATAATTGAATAAATAAATGATTAAAGTACAAACATAATAAAAATAAATAAAAATAATAACAACTATTGAGAGAAATACTCTATTGTAGTAAATTTTTAATTGAATAATGTAATGAAGGAGCAATATTATTGTTCCCAGAATACTGCCATCAGTAATTTCATACATAACTTTATGTAAAAAAGGAATAATAACCGGAAATATCTGGAGAGTGAAGATTTGGCGTGTGGCACTTCCGTTGGTAATTGCCCCGTAAGAATGAAAACCCAGAGCCATTAGATTGCAGTTACCCTGTATGAACCCCTTGCAGTTGGAGAAAGGAGATAAAGATAACCGAATCGTTGTCGTTGCGATTTCTCAAGCCCCATCCCCCAATCTGCTGTATTATCCCGACGTCTTTAACCGCCAACTTTCCCCGAAGAAGTCTCAAGGATGTGTACAACCGATGGGAATCTTCCTTGATCGACTTAAGCTTATCCGAGTTATCATCTTTGTACCCCTTTTATCTCATTCCCTTTGACTCGGTAAAATTGAATTCGTTTTTTTCCTTATCAAAATGGTTTTGCTGCTTCTCCTAAATTTCTTCCTTTTTTTCCTAAGCAATAAATGTTTGAAAGAAGCAACAGAGGAAGAGGAAAACGGTAATGGAACACAACCACTCGTAGCACAAAGCAGACGTTTCTATTTTAGGGGGAAAATCGCGAGCTCAAAGTAGCTAGTACGAGTGTATTGGTTGGTTTGTCTCTGTGTGGAGAGTGCACAGTTTTGGGATGTGTAGAGGGCAGGAGGAAAGCCAAGTGGAGTGGTGGAGGGAAGAGGGTAAGCACCGGTAATCGTGAGGGAAACCATTAAGGGCTGTTTCTGAAGCTTATCGAGGTCGACCAGCGGGCGGCAGAGCGCGCGAGTCCCATCCAATTGTCGCGATAACGTCGGGGATATGCCTATATACCCACTCCTTGGTTTCACCCCGTTTACCCCGTTTTACCCTTCAGTCCACCACCACTTGCCAAGACGCATCGAGTCTCACCGGAAATGACCCCGTCGAAGAGCTTCCTGCTCGTTTAGCCTCCTCAACTCGTCGGCATTTCCGGGCTTCAAACGTGCAAGTTTTACGGGGCTTTGAATCATTTCACTCGTTGGATTAACCTTCTCATTTCACTTGTGTTTGGGCTTTATTCAAGTTACTGTTACTAATGTTTCACTTTAGACCAGTTGCTCTGCTTCTATCATCCCAGGATAGACGATGGTTACGATGCAAGTGAAGAAATTCCTTGTTGTGTTACTGCTCATATACACTGAGAAAAAAATTATATATTATATAAGAATCCAGTAAAAATTATGAGAAAAGGAATGTAAACATCCGCGAAGCGAAGGAAAGTTCAATAAAAAATGTTAATTAGAAGAATTTAAAAGAAATTGTACAAAAGTGCGAATTCTGCGATTTGTTTCGTTAAAATTACGCGCCACACCGATGACTCACTTGTGTGTAATTATTTCCCATAGCATATTTATATCCATGTCAAAAGATATTATTCTCTAAACATAAAAAAAGAAGCAAAAAATTCTCATAGATTTGGACATGAAAGTTAATTTACTTTCTAACAGTTGAAGTGATAGAAATTGATTAATTCCATAATTAATCCGTCCCAATAGAAAAAGGTCATTTCCTAATCCCAAAAAAAAAGATTCAAGTGATGCCTCACTGACGAAACGTATATATAGGGTCTTTACAAAATCCAATAAAGGGCTGCAAGTGGCAATAACCGGAACATTGACGGTATTTGGGTTGACTCGCAGAACAAATGGGGTGAATAATTCCCGTAACCCCAGTGACCCAGTCAAAGTGCCTGTGTATTTGGTATTTGTTATTTCAACAGTGAGACTGAAATAAAAGATATATAGGATATGAAGTCTTATTGTCGAGGTTAAAGTCAGCTGAGAATAAAAGAAAAGCCCATGCTTAAATACAAGAATAACAATGAATCGAGGGGATGGAAAGGTGCGGAATGAGGTGGAAAAGGGGTGGAAAAGGGGTGGAAAAGGGGTGGATAGGGGGTGGAAAGGAGGTGGAAGGGGTTGGAAGGGGGTGAAAACATGAGAAAGAGTTGAATGGGTGATTGTGAAATTTAACGGAGGACTCCTGGGTGAGTGTTTTGTGCTGGGATGAAGAAGGATGAAAGGTGAAAGAGAACGGGTGGCACACATAGCACGAAAAGCCGTCGAATATAGCCTGAAGGATCAGAAAGCGATATGAGATTTCGAGTGTGTGGCCGAGTGATGTATCGGGCGAGAGAGGCAGCCATTGGCATCGTCGACGTTTTCCGAAGAGCTTTTCGTCCCATTCCCACACACCATCAGCACATATACACGTACATTTGTATATGACTTGATATATAGCGAACGCGTCCCTTTGAATAAGCATTCGCGTGAAAATATTGCTCCCTCCGGCCTTCCGGTCTTTCATCCATTTTCAGCTGTGCTTCCTTGGTGAAAAAATAAAAAATTGGGAAAAATCGGGCTAAAGGGGATAACATTTTTTCTTCACTCGTGGTTTTACCTTTTTTCTTTTTTTTTTTGCAGTTTTTTTTTACTCTGTGGGGAGAATGCAATTTCTATTCTTTTGATGGAGAAGAAGGAATCATTTATCGTGCATGGAAGTTTGAAGCATTATGGTCGAGTCTTGGTTTACACAGGAATTCTCCCTCGGGTGGAGGGGATGAAGAGGGTGGAGGGGGTTGAACCCGTTGAGTTTCACCATTCATGGAATACGACAATCGAACGATTGTTCCAAGGGTACAATCGACTCGGTGGGATAGGCACCAATGGCACACGACGCTCAAAGTACCTCCGGGATATGACCAGACGCGATCGACTTCGAGAATGGGGTGGAAGATGAGGGGGAGGGGATACTACCATTCAATGTCTTCTCCGATGAATACTGCGGTGGAAATACCACTGCACAGTTGCTTCTACTAATTGATATTGAAACCTCAATTTTACAGTTGAAAATTCTGGTCATTCCGATTTGCATCCGTGGGGATAAATATTCAATAGAAATTATGGATCTTTTCCGTTATTTCCCAGCGAAAGGTGGCTGAGGAAAATTTAAAGCGATTACCTTGAGAAAATTGTTTTAAACGTTCTGAATATTTTACTCATTTTAGATGAATCTAAATTGTGCAAATATTTTTTCAAACTTTTCATAAAATTGTATAAATTATTAGAAGAGGGTAGCAAACATTTGGAATAATTAGTGGACGATACATTATTTTTTCATTCTTGTTACATTTATCGTTGTCAATTCATAGAAAAGTTCATAAAAAATTTTGTAAAAAGTCAAAATTAGTCAACTTTTATTTTTCAGGGAAGACAGGAAATTTATAGAGCTTTCTACATTTTCTGACGTCCCCGGAAATCGGTGGATAGGATTTTGGATTAGGTAGGAAGGAAGTCAAGATAATCCTCGATATAATTTTACAGGATAAGATGAAAGCCTGGCCGTCCTTAAATTACGTGAGCCGTTTGTGCAATCGATGAACGAATTGAAAGTTTTCCAATTTCTAATCAATATTTTTCTCCGTTTCACTGTCATAAACATATCTTGAAATTCTGTGCAATTTTTCAATTAAAAAGAGACCAATTCAAACGAGTTTAATGTAAAATTAGTTGAAACTCAGGACACGAAAAAAATTACTCATGTTAAACTAATAAGCGGGAGAAATAATGGCGGATTTCAGTTTTAAATAGAATATTACCAGTTGGATAATAGTGGCCAGGAGAAAATGATTTTCCTCTCCATATTTTCGATCTGGCTAAACCATATTTAACCGTTTGAAAACGTAATTTAGCTGTTTGATATTACTCAGTTCATTGAACCAGGGATGCAGATTAATTCCATATTTGAAGCTCAAATTTAAACAGCGTGAGAAAACAGATAAAATGCCGCGTTTATTTTCCAAGCTTGATAGTAATTTATATGAATAATTGAGATAAAACTTTCTCTCCTACCTTAAATGGGATTGAATAAAAAAATTATCACTCTCTCATCCTCTTGAGAATCTTCAACAGATTTCCACGGCCAAAAAATCAATACCTTTAAATTCTCACTAACTTCCAATGAAAGAAAACGTTCAAAATAATAAATTCATTAAATTTATTTTTAACTGAAGACAATTACAAAAAATGTCACATGTAAATAAAACGATTTATCTTCAAATAAACCATTAACTATTAAATAACAATTGTGGGAAGAAACCAGTATGCCTCTCAACGTTTTCAATCAAACGAATCTATATTTAAGTTTGGAAACGTAATTTAAATTAAGATGAATTCTATGTTGAAGGCTCTCATTTAAATAGAATGAGCAAATAGATAATATTCCCTGTGTATTTTCAAATAAAATTGATAGTTGCTGATATGAATAATTGAGATAAAAGTTTCTCTCCTACCTTGAATGGGATGTTGTTGTTTGAATGTAAATATAATGAGATTCCATGATTATAATAATCGTCAAAAATGATCAATCTCTCATGCTGTTGAAAATTTTAATGAGATTACGTCTCACTACCGCTTTGACAAGTCCACCTTGTAGTTTAAACCAGAAATGTGAAAAGTTTTAGTCAGCTTGCTCATCGTTTTTAATCACCCTCTGGGGCTTCAATCTTCATCTTCACCCCTACGCGAAACTTTCGACCGTTAAGGTAATAAAACGTTTAACAAATAATTAAGAAGTTGAAACAAGCAGAATATAACAGTGCCATCTGTTACTTGTTCCTAGGCTTTATTATCTCCTGACGTTCATACCCTTTCACATTTCTCTCTGTCTTTACGCCGAGGGTAGTCTAGTAATGAAGAAAAACTATGAATTATTCAGCTGATGCCGTCGATGTCGGGCTCACTTCCGGTTATCTCATCCCATGGGGTTGGATTGCTTCCGAGATCTTTTTCACATCATCATCGGAACTCAATTCCTCTCGTGCCTCTGTTATGTAAAGTAAATCTCAGGCCAATCAATGAACAAACGTACAACTCCTAACAAATACAACGTTTTTTATACATTATTTTCTCAAAAAACACAACATAAAATCTATAATAAATCTGTATCACTTCTTATGGTTTAAGGTGATAGTTTAAAGTCTAATGGTACTGTTGACGATGAATTTCGCGATTAAGGATAAAATCATCAGGAAGATAACGAAGAAGGCGACAATGCAGATTGTCCCGTATCCTGAAAGAGAATTAATAAATCAACTGTCTGTCAATGTGAGATTTTTTAATTTTTAACGACAAAGTATCATGAATTCTCTGTAGATTTCTTCATTAATAAATCCGTTAATGAAAATATTGAAAGTTCGGGCTACTGAATAGATATCTCTATACTATACAATAGATACTTAAAATGATAAGCCCAGTATTCTTGAATCGTCAAGACTAATTGAAATTTTGGAGTCTGTTGTTAATTGAAGTTGCATTCAAAATCATATAATTGAAAATTCTAATAACTTCGTGATTAAAATATCAAGAAATTCCATCGCTTTTCATCCAAAATCACCGCTTTTTTTAGATTTGACCTGAAAATTCACCGTTTTTCCATTTTATAATTATTCTATACCTTTTTTAAATGTTCAGAAAAAACGCAGCAAAAATAATTGCATTACCCTGATATTTTGGGAGTCATTAAATAATAATAAAATGGTAAAACGGTATATTTATTCGTGTCAGGTTGATGACCAATTTGTCAGAAAACTGAAAAAACCGGTAATCTTGGCTAAAAGGGGAAGAATATCTTTAACAATGTAGTGAAACGGAAATAATGAAATCGGTACTTACTGCGGGCAAATGAAGTTTCTTCTTTCATATTTCCGATACTATCGTCACGGAAGCTTCTGAATAATATTCGTGAGGGATTTCGAATGTGAATGCTTGTTGGCGGTGTGCTTGTAGGAGACATTGAATTCTCAATTAAACCTATAAGAAAGTCAACAAAACTGCTCTTATCCTCTAGATAATTTTTGAAATTTAAATTTTGTTTGAACCAAATACATCGTTAGTTGTAAATTCTCAAGATATATTCTCTTTTGATGATTCAAATTATAGATAAGGCCAACATTCTTTTTTAATGTTTTCGTTGATGCCGCAAGGAAAATCGGTTCACTCGATTTTCAAAATTGTCAAATGACTATTTATTTATTTTTGAATGTTTAAAAGTTTATCAAATCTGTCAAATTTCTTTCTGTAATCTACATTTGTTAAACTACTAGAATCAATATAATGATCGTATAATCAAAACTATTTTTTCCGTGTACGATTGATCGGTTTCGATTAAAAATTTTGTTATCAATTAGAAGTTACCTTGAATTGTTCATGAATCAAATCGATGAGTACGGAAAAATTATAATTATAATTTTTGTGTCAAACCAAGATCTAGTTTGTTCAATTACTTTTTAGGAAGAAAAATAAAACCGATTTGTTCATGGTTCAACATGATAATCCTTACTTGCCATTTCCTGATTCCGATTGGATGACATACGAGAGCCATCGAAAAAAAGATCGCGAATGTACATCAAGGGTGACTCCAAGCCCTGAAGTTCATCATAGAAATAAGGTGGTGGATCATAACGAGGAATGCTACCAGTGCTCATGACAGGTGATTGTATGAGGGTATTTTCGCCGTCATCAGCCCCTCGAACTGATTCTGCACGTTCTCCAGATACTTGGAATGATTTTGGCGTACCCCACAACACCGACGACGGAATACTCCCCGACTCTGTTGATGACACTGGTGTATTCCATGTTCCTGCACTAGTCTCTGACGACGTGTTCGTCGGCGAGTCCTGCTCATCATTTATAACATCACCTTGCGAGTGAGCTAATTCTGTATCAATAAATTTTACATACTCATGTAGTCATCATCATCAATTTTTTAATCTGCTATTTCCCTTGCGATTTTTGTATTTATTTATGTCAAGGAACTGTCAGTT